GGCGGCGAGGGCAAGAACCGGACGCACTGTCGACTCTCGGTGAGAGGTGCACAGCGCGCCGCCCGATGGTTCGACGACGACGACGACGTCACTGGTCCTCAGCGTCAGCCTCAGCCTCAGCCGGAGGCCGGCCGTCCGCCCTGCCCGATCGCCTCTCCTTTAACGAACCCGCCTGAAGCGAGGCCGAGGCCGAGGCCATCGAGGGCAGTGCAGCGACGAGAGACGACGTGGTGATCCTGGCTCTTCGTTGGCCCGCGACCAGCATCGGAGGGGGCCAGTCGGACTGCAGGTGTCACGTCGTCTAATTTTGTCGTTTAACGCGCAGCAATGATCCCGAGTGCCCATAAAGGTCGCACCGGAGACCGTTCACAACCGGAAGAGGTAGCTGTGCTCACGCATCTGCGTCGCCGTTTTTCTACAACCAGGCCATGCGAGGTCGACGGCGTAATTGAATTTGCGAACGTTCGAGAGATACCTGCCAGTCCACAGCCTGGGACATTACGTGAATGGTAGAACGTGGGAAGTGACACTGGAACCCCCTCTTCGAGGTTGAACTCCGGACGAGTCAGACGGAGAAAGTGGGAGGGGGATTTCAGCAGGCTGGGCCATGCCTCCTTACTCTTCTGTCTGCTCTTTTCGTTAGCTTTAGGCTCCCCAAACAACGAACGCTACGATGAGATGCAACTCAGTGACATTCTCCATTCAAAGACTAAACCATATGCGTCAGATTTCAAACAGCCTTTCGCGATGCGATGCTCACGAAGCAAATGAATATGATGCATCATTAATCACCCCGATATTCCGGGCGATTTTCTCTGCGGCAAGTCAAACCACGTCCAATGGTGAGGATGCGACAGGATGAATAACTTTAATTCTGCCCACATCCCGCTGCGATGTAATCCTCACTTCGCTGCCACAGTTCTCCCATCGTTCTAGCTCTTCAAAACAGAGTACCCTGCGCTGCAGATGGATAGTCGTCGTTCGTTTCCCCGTATGCTAGAGAAGTCGTCTTATGTCTACCTTCGGTGTATTCTTGAACAGCGATCGTTGAGTACAAAATATCCTAGCAACGCATGGATGAAGACTGACAGGAGTAACAGTGACATATCACTCTGGGCCCCTGCCTAATGACCTGGGGCTTGCATGTCGGTCGACGGCCAGTCCCGGGTCGAGCTCAGGTCGAGTCACTCGTCCTTTCCTCGTGAGAAGGAAACAGGAGCTCACACGCTATATTGTTCACTAAACACACACTTAGCCGTGGACAAAAAAGGAACAACGAGGATCTCCTAGTCAGTGGCACGAAAATCGAAAATCAAGGCTAACACCGCGCCATAAGTTTCAGGAACAGGAAGGGGTGCCACAAACGGCGCCCAGCCACGAAAGCCTTTGAAGGACCAATGCGACGTTTGCCCGTTTCCTGTACTACCGTTGCACACACAGGGCC